GTGGGCGGAGGGGGGGGGGGGGGGGATGGGGTTGGGTCCGAAGGTTGTGTACCTACTGGCTCCAGTGATCAAAGTTTGACCCGTATATTTGGTCAGGATTCAGGATAGACAGCAATGGAGGGACTGGAGGGAGCATTGCCATAAGTCCCCTTAGACATACACTATATTGCCAAAAGTATTGGGACACCCCTCCAAATCATTGGATTCAGGTGTTCCGTGAAATTTCCTTGCTACTAAATATTCCACAGTCACCTGTTAGTGGTATTATAACAGAGTGGAAGCAATTGGGAACAACAGCAACTCAGCCAGGAAGTGGTAGTCCACGTAAAATGACAGAGCGGGATCAGCGCATGCTGAAGCGCACAGTGCGCAGAAGTCGCCAACTGTCTGCAGAGTCAATAGCTACAGACCTCCAAACTTCATGTGGCCTTCAGATTGGCACAACAACAGTGCGTAGAGAGCTTCATGGAATGGGTTTCCATGGCCGAGCAGCTGCATCCAAGCCTTACATCACCAAGTGCAATGCAAAGCGTTGGATGCCGTGGTGTAAAGCACGCCGCCACTGGACTCTAGAGAAGTGGAGACGTGTTCTCTGGAGTGATGAATCATGCTTCTCTGTCTGACAATCCGATGGACATGTCTGGGTTTGGCGGTTGCCAGGAGAACGGTACTTACCTGACTGCATTGTGCCAAGTGTAAAGTTTGGTGGACTGGGGATTATGGTGTGGGGTTGCTTTTCAGGGGGTGGGCTTGGCCCCTTAGTTCCAGTGAAGGGAACTCTTAAGGCATCACCAAACCAAGACATTTTGGACAATTTCATGCTCCCAACTTTGTGGGAACAGTTTGGGGATGGCCCCTTCCTGTTCCAACATGACTGCGCACCAGAGCACAAAGCAAGGTCCATAAAGACATGGATGGGGGAGTTTGGGGTGGAGGAACTTGACTGGTCTGCACAGAGTCCTGACCTCAACCCCATAGAACGCCTCTGGGATGAATTAGAGCGGAGACTGCGAGCCCGGCCTTCTCCTCCAACATCAGTACCTGACCTCACAAATGGTCCAACATTCCCATAGACACACTCCTAAACCTTGCGGATGCCTTCCCAGAAGAGTTGAAGCTGTTATAGCTGCAAAGGGCGGAGCCAACCCAATACTGAACCCTACGGACTCAGCCTGGGATGCCATTAAAGTTCATGTGCGTGTAAAGGCCGGCGTCCCAATACTTTTGGCAATATAGTGTATACTTAATACTGTAAACCAGTCACTAGAGTTTACAACATCTTTTAGGTGATTTCTTTGGAAAACGTACATGAGGGGGTTAAGTTGTATCCCCACACAGCTTGTCAATGGCAGCACATTTCTATCTGAGGCCTGGTTTACTGTGTGTGAATCAGCTGATGTGATCTGGCAGCCGGATCATGAACAAATACATTGTTATTACACATAACTTTGCCCTGTTGGGTAGATGAGGGTACAGAACTTATATTGCCAGGGGCTCTCTGCTTGCAGATCTGGAGTGTAAACCAACCCCTGCTGTAAAAAAATGTTGACATTTCCAGGTCACCCATGACAATTATTGAGACAATGATCCGTCGTGTCATTCTAGTGTAGTTGGTTGCAGAGGCCCACATAGCTTGTAGTAAATAACATTGCGTGACTGAATCTAACCCTGAAACAAAAATAAGTCCCTTACCCCGGAGGGATGCATACTTTTTTTTGTCCAGGCATCGAGAGTCAGTTTGGCATTGTTCTGGGGGCCCCAACAGTCTATGGCTTTTAGTAGAGGACAGTCATTGAAATACGTTCATATTTGATGACCTTAGGATTCCAGAGATTAATTTGTATCAGGTTGTATTATTGTCGTAGGAAAACAGCCGGAAGGGAGCGGGTGGTCTTAATACGTCCTTTGTGCCCGCGCCCGCTCGTACCGCATAGAATAACGTCAACAGAGCTTTTTTAAAGGATGTGATGTCCTCCTAGGACCTAGGCATATGCCAGTAATGGTAGATATTTATGGATGCCTCACTTCTTTCATAAACAAGGGTTTTCTTTAATTTTTTGAAGAGCATTTGATTGGACAATCCACCAATTCAAAGCCTGTAGAGAAGGGGTAGGCAACCTTGGTACAAATCCCATCACGCCTCTGCAAGTCTGTGGCTGTCAGAGTCTGGCAATGGGTATTGTAGTTCCACAAAAGCTGCAGAGCCACAGTTGCCTGCCCTTACTGTAGAGTAAGATGAGAAAGTTCCTCCTTCCCTTACATTTGCATAATTCCCCACTCCACCAGTAGGAATTAACAAAACATGAACTTCATTGTAAGTAGTAATTTGGAGCTGCCTCTTTTCCCCGTCCCCCGGGCCACTGGCTCCCAAATTCCTCATGGTGCATATGGCCCAGACTTGGTTTTCCACCAATTGGTGTAGACCTGCACTGTCCAAGATGACAAACTCTTCTGGGGGCACCATGCATTGTCCATGCAGACATTATAGAACAATAGATACTGAGAATTACCCTCACATTCAGAACAAGAGAAGTGGCCCTGAGATGCATTCTTCCATACAGAACAATAACTGATACTAAGAATTACACCCAGCATACAGAAGAAGTGAAGTGGTGCTCCACAGCTTCCATACTTACAAATTAATGCTGGCCATACACTAGCTGGCCTGGGGGTTGAACGAATGAAACGTAACAGAGTCCTGCACCCCATGCTACACATCAAAGATGGAAGAATCTCCCCTACCAGCTATTGTATTTTAACAGCCGGTGTCCGCCATTGTTCCAAAGACCTGGGCAGTGACTGTAGATATTGGTTGTTCAGACATCAATTTTCCACATGGCTTCTCCAGTGGTGCCGTCAGGGCCACCCACAGCTCGAATTTTGGTCATGTTAGCTGGAGTTGCTCAAACTTTGAGCAGTGTATGGCTAGCTTGAGGACAGATACTGAGAATTATACCCAGCATATAGGAGAAGGGAAGTTGTATTGTGTTACGTTTACATAAAAGGGTCAAAAACAGCAAATTATATCCAGCCCGTTTAACATTAGAAGTAGTGCTCTCCATATTGCAGGGGTGGGCAACTCCAGCCCTCCAGCTGTTGTGGAACTACAATCCCCATGAGGCTTTGCAAGACTCTGACAGTTACAGGTATGACACCCAGAGGCAGAGGCTTGTTGGGATTTGTAGTAAAAGCACAGCTAGAGGGCCGGAGTTGCCCACCCCTGCCGCACTGTGTGAAAATCCAGCAATTTCTGAAGTCTGGAACCAACAATCATTCCACATCAAATTCCCTTCAATGTGTGCTTCTTCTCCAATCTAAACGAGGAGTAGATGAACCCGTAGAGCTGGCACGGCTCCTGCGCCTGCCTTGTGCAGCCAAAGATGCCTGGAGCAGTACGTGTAGATTGCTTGAACTGTTCTCCATTCTAATGTTTGGCCAAACAAGAACCAAAACACTTGACCATGTCTGCACGTATGAAAGCTGTTTTTGTTTCAGCCAACCTATGCTGTTTGCATGAGGATGTGAAGCCCAAATACGTTTACTATGTTTCTGCATTGTCAACATGTAATAAAGCTAAACTCCGGGATCAGCAAATATTGTCCTCATACTAGAGTCATGTGTATTCTTCTTCAATCCAGTGTGAGACTTGGAGCTTCCTGTAATAAAGACCACACACTGCTGCTCTATCTCCTTGTGCAGACTGACTGGTCTTGCTTCCGCCCCCTCCTGTAATAAAGACCGCTCACTGCTGCTCTCTCCTTGTGCAGGGTGACTGGTCTTGTCTCCGCCCCTTCCTGTAATAAAGACCGCTCACTGCTGCTCTCTCTCCATGTGCAGAGTGAATGGTCTTGCCTCTGCCCTCTCCTGTAATAAAGACCAGCCACTGCTGTTCTCTCTCCTTGTGCAGGATGACTGGTCTTGTCTCCACCCCTTCCTGTAATAAAGACCGCTCACTGCTTCTCTCTCTCCTTGTGCAGAGTGACCGGTCTTGTCTCCACCCCTTCTTGTAGCTTTCTGAAGGCAGCCTGTACTTTGTGGGCCTCCAGGGCCTCTCCCACAGCTCTGCACAGGCTATGTGCAGCACGGTGATGATGTCACTAATACTTTTACAAGGTATTTTCTCGGTTTAAGTATTGAACGGCAGCCAAATGATTCATTGCTTAGCCATCTCCATTAACATACCAGCTTGAATAATAAAGCATCCACCGAATGTGTGTAAACATGTTTACGTAACACCCAAATTTATTTGTGCTGATCGATAAAAATAAACTCACAGATATCAAATTGAGTATAAAGGGTGCAGGACACAAAACGTGCAATTAGCACATCGCCGGTTATTTAAGGTTGGGATATATTTTAGGATCAAGCTATGAATGTGAAAAGTCCAACCCAATGTGCTATTAGCATTCAGATTGAGGCGATGGCATCGTTCTCGCCCTCGTCATCAGCCTGTATTGGGCAGCTGCTGCATCTGCATTCTCCTGCGCATGTACTTATGCGATAGGACCTGCAGGCGGTGCTCAAGACTTACTTCCAGCTAAAAATAATTCCTCCCTTTCATTGGAAACACACGCACACCTCCGTGTTGGAAACCAGGAGTCGCAACCGGCAGCCATCACTGCTAGAGATCCACACTCAGGATGACACAGGCAGCTCCATGCAGTGGTACACAGGCACGAACACGGAGAAGGACGCATTGATCTCTATCCAGGCAACACACACACACAAGGCAGCGTGACAGCATGCGAGCCTGAGGAACACTGACGATGTGACATAGAGACTCCACACAGCCATGCTCGCACACACACACACTGCACAGCTAGATGCAAATGCAATCATACATTAACATAAATCGTTCTACAAAACACATCACCGGGGAGGCTAATTTTAACGAAAAGCCAATTCCTGCACACGCTAAGATCTGTGCACATTGAGAAAAACGCACACGTACCCTTGGGACACGACTAACCCACGCAGATGAGGGCACACACACATTAATGGGTATAGATTGAGATAAAACGCATGCACGGCATAGTGTTAGAACGTATATTTTATAGCTAGGCACCTGTACACCTAGCCTCTGCCTTTTCGATTCGAATCCTATAAAGAAGATGCTCGAGTGATGTCATCATGGCGGCGATGTACGGGACAAGGCCCGGACTGGGTGTAGTATGAGCTGTGTGTGATTGTCGTTGGTGGTTGCAGAATTGGGGCTTATTAGCGGTGTGCATGTCTGTGTGTCTATACTGTGTATCTGTACTGTTTCACCTTCCATTATTTTCCTCCTGCGATTGCTGCATTGCTTTGTGCGCACCCGAACTTTGATCCCTGGTCTCATGACCGCGGCCTGATCTCCAGAAGTGCCTGGCTGCCGTTAAGGAATAATCAGAGATTAATTTTTAACATGGCTCCTTGCCCTGGAGACACGGCACTTCAAAGCGTGTCATGTCCCGGTTTCCCATAATTGGGTTGCAGCGCCAGTCATCGTCCTATACTCGCCGCAAGTCCTCTTTTATTAGTGTCCCTGCTTAAGGTGCCGCAATAATGTGCATTAAATAAGAACCGACATGTCCTCAAAGCAAATCTGTGGTGGCACTAGAGAAATACAGAGATTTCCATTGCTGACTTCCTTATGAACCGTGTCCTGGCTTTCTCTGGCTTTTTGAGTCACCAACCTAGAACAAGTAGGCAGGCAGTGAAGTTAGAGGAAAGTCAAAACTGGTGAAGCCTTTGGATCAGTATAACAGCCCTGCAATGGGTATTTTTAAAAGGAGAGCTGATCAGTGCCAGCATATATATTTTTTTCAGTTGAGGGTTCCTTTAAAAGTCATATTAGCTTGACCTACTGGGGATTGCGTTTGCTTTAATTGTAGGGATTCGAAAGTCAGTATTATGGTCCTGAAGCCATTCATAGGCTAGTAGGCTTAGATGAGACCCCAACCAAATATAAGATGCTAGGGATCTTTAACATATAAGTGAAATGATACTCACCTCCAATACCCTATTTGTCACTCACAATACCACCCCATCCATTGATTGCTAGATACTTGGCTGGAGCTGCAGGTTACTTCGCTAGCAGCCCATTTACTTTACTGGGTATCATTCATCAGATTGTGTTCAATAGGAGCTGTGTTGCTCACAGTAACATTTGCCGTTCCAGCAGTCAGAGCGGAGGAAGCTTATTGGTGGCTCGGAGGACAGGGCTTGATATTATTTAGCTAAGCTTAACAAATAAGGCTCCATAATCTTGGTGTTGCAAAACAAGGCACGGAGATATGGAGATTCACTGCACTCTAGCACTGTAGTCTTGCTCGGCTTGCTTGGATTTCATAAAGGAGCCAATGTGTTGAAAGGTCCTCTTATTGTTAGGTGGAGCATAGAGTAAATAGTAAAGATTCCATTCTATATATGTGTGTCATCTTTACCATCTTGACATATTCTCCCAATTTAGGTAAAAATGCTCATTGTCATCTAGGGCCCTCTCTTCAATTTCGGTAAAAATGCTCATTGTTATCTAGGGCCCTCTCCTTCCATTTCGGTAAAAATGTTCTTTGTCATCTAGGGCCCTCTCTTCAATTTCGGTAAAAATGTTCTTTGTCATCTAGGGTTCTCTCTTCAATTTTGGTAAAAATGCTCATTATCATCTATGGCCCTCTCTTCAATTTCGGTAAAAACGCTCATTGTGTAATAAGGCCCTCTCTTCAATTTTGGTAAAAATGCTCATTGTCATCTAGGGTTCTCTCTTCAGTTTCGGTAAAAATGCTCTTTGTCATCTAGGGTGCTCTTTTCAATTTCGGTAAAAATGCTCTTTGTCATCTAGGGCCCTCTCTTCAATTTCGGTAAAAATGCTTGTTGTCATCTAGGGCCCTCTCTTCAATTTCGGTAAAAATGTGCATTGTCATCTAGGGCCCTCTCTTCAATTTGGGTAAAAATGCGCATTGTCATATAGAGCCCTCTCTTCAATTTTGGTAAAAATGTGCATTGTCATCTAGGGCCCTCTTTTCAATTTCCTGTAAAAATGCGCATTGTCATCTAGGACCCTCTCTTCAGTTTTCATCTCAATTACACTATACAGCCAAAGGTTTGTGGACACCTGACCATGAGACCTATATGAGCTTGTTGGACATCCCATTCCAGATCAATATGACGGTGGCCCACCTGTACGGCTGTAACAGCCTCCACTCTTCTGGAAAGGCTTTGCTTAAATTTTGAAGTGTATCTATAGGGATCAAGGCCCATTCAGCCAAAGGAGCATTTGTGAGGTCAGGTACTGATATTAGATGAGCTCACAATTGATGTTCCAAGGTGTTCTGTAGGGTCGAGGTCAGAGCTCTGTGGAGACCACTACAGTTCCTCCACACCAAACATGTCAAACCATGTCTTTATGGACCTGGCTTTGTGCACAGGGCACAGCCATGGTGGAACTGAGGAACCTTCTCCAACCTGTTGCCACAATGTTGGAAGCACACAGTTGTCTAAAATGTATTTTGTCTGTTCTAGCAATTGCAGTACTTTTCAGTGAAATAAACAGATCTCAATAATTTGGAGGTTTATGGTGTGATGGTCAGGTGTCCACAAACATTTGGCTATGTAGTGTATTTCCTGTATAGTTGTATGCTGACAGATGTAACTATTGATCTGAAATTGATTGCTTTTCTGTTAAGGGTAGTCTAACGATACCCTTAGAGGGAGTAAGTCAGTGAACCTGCCTCCATTTCTAACAGATACCGTTTGTTTCTGAGTTCATTTGTCCTGCAGGTAGAAGGTGTCAGGCAACTGAAACATGGAGGACACAAATCTAACGTTCTGGTGATCCAATAATTGGTGCTATCACAATGGACACAGAATTGTCTAACCAAGTTTATTGTCCTGCTCGGTGACATTGTCCTTCAGATTCTTGATAAATAAGGCCAGTTTGGTTTATCTGCCAGTATCCATCTTTTTAGACTTCATAACAAGAAGGACATCTTGATATCATAGGCAGGAGACATTGTTGTCTTTGACAGTTCCTCAGTGGCATTTTGTAAACCAAAAGGGAAGGAATGGTGGGTGGAAGAGTGGCCTCCAGCATCCAATAAGACTTTCCTATTACTCCCTGCTCCATAAACATGTTGTTGAATCCGAACTGTTCCGGTACCTATCACCTTGAGCTTTATGCAATAAACAGCACAAGGAAGAATGTGCATTACCCACAGCCACAGTGGGAACTGACTTTACTGGATCGGACCAGTAGAAGATGAATGATAATAAATATAAGTAACGATTATGCGCCCAAGAAGTCCCAAAGTATTATTGGGACTTTTGGGGTCTGTATTGTGGCAGCTTCACTACCCATATTAGTATTTCATCATCTATAAGCGCAGATCATTAGATTTAATACTTAGAAGATGAATGATGATTTGTTTTTGTGGGATCTGTGCTCTTTGACCTGTATGTAGTTCTTAGAAAGCCGTGCACAGCTGCCCCGAGCTGCATCACTGACCTCATCTCAAGATATCACCCACACCATCCTGTTCTCTGCTCTTCAGACCTTGTGCTCTCTAGCTCCGTCATCACCTCCTCCCGTGCTCACCTCTGAGACTTCTCCCATCCTCCCTACCCAAGGCTGCCTGGCTATCTCCTACTCTATCTCTGAAAACTCATCAATTTGGGGAAGCATATCCTTCTTCTAGCTAAAACTGAACTGGGTGGGCATAAGCAATCCAGGGTTCCCAAATCTTCACAATTTTTTTTATTAGAGTCTAATAGAATACTAGTCAATTTCCCATTAAGCAAAAAGGAATCAATCTTTTTTTTTTTACCTCTCACAAAGCAAGCTCACAGCTGACAGTTAAGCTGGCCATTAAGCTGGTCATCTTCTCAACATTTGTGCGATTTTCTAAGGGCACACACCTTACAACCATCGCAAGACTTTTGTCTTGCGATGGTTGTAAGGTAATTAAGAAAACGTACGATCTGCCTATCTTGGACAGGCAGATCGTACTTGCGACGATCGCAAACCGCGCCCCCCTGAGGGGCGGGCTTCCGATGACCGCAATGCCGAACTGGCAGTGTGCGCTTGCTTTCGAACATGTTCGTAAGTTAAATGTCGTGCGGCCTTACAGTAGTAGAGGTCGCACGGCTTCCACACACCTTGCGATAATCGTACGATCGTGGGATTTCCCGCGATTATCGTACGATTATCGTACAGTGTGTGGGCACCCTAATAGTTAATGGGGTCAAATCGACGATCGTTTTTGACCGTAGTGGCGAAAAAAATTGAAGGAGTTGGATGGAAAATTTGACCAGAAGTTCTAGCGGTGGTTTTTGTGTTCGAAAAGCTCCATTCATTCCAATATTGAATGTGAAAATTGAACGAAATTTGAAAGGATGTTGTACGAGCTTCTTCTAAAAGCATGATCGAATGTTCTGACCAGATCTTGTCGTATGAATGTTCATATGAAAATCTCCCAGTGTATGGCCGGCTTTATTGAACTTATGCACTCTGGGATTTTAGGACAGATGAAGCCAACCTTTGACATGCTATATGAGAAAGGTATAGGAGGGTCTATGTGAGGGAATGGAATTGTTCAGTACTGTTATTTGGTCATTCACTGTTATGGTAACTGGTGAGTGTTCTGTGTTTGTAGCAGTTGTAACGGTTGTTACTTTCTCATGCAATTTATCTTCAACAAATTTAAGTTCTCTGCACCCTTTCTTCAAAGTCTTTTCTTTCTTTTTACGCATGCCTAGATCCCAGCTGTTGGACACTGATATGGATTATGAGCGTCCCAATGTTGAGACGATAAAATGTGTGGTAGTGGGAGACAACGCTGTCGGGAAGACGCGCCTCATCTGTGCTAGAGCATGCAATGCCACTCTGACCCAATATCAGCTCCTCGCTACACATGTGCCAACTGTGTGGGCCATAGACCAATATCGCGTGTGCCAAGAGGTGAGCATTCTCCGCATGACCATGTTCAGCTAAGGATTCTGGGTAGAAGTGGTGATTACCATAAAAAATTATCCCTTTTTTTTGTTATGTTTTATTTATATTACTTCTTAGGTCTTGGAACGATCTCGGGATGTGGTCGATGAAGTCAGTGTGTCCCTCAGGCTTTGGGACACATTTGGAGACCATCATAAAGACCGGCGGTTTGCTTATGGAAGGTAGGGATGTCATATTTATGTTTGTTTAATGAGATAAATGAGAATTTAGTAAAGCAGGAAGCAAAGATTCATCACTCGGGAAGCTGATTGATTGCTATGGGTTTACTCTGTATTTACTCTGCTCTATATGTGTTTATTATTGCCCATACACCATATACACTGACTGCTTGGGCAGATGTGGCCATTTGGGCCTATGAAGATGTTTGGATTTCCTGTGTGTGTTTACTAATGCCCATACACCATGTACTCTGACAGCTTGGGCAGTTGAGGCCATATGTGCCTATGGAGATTTTTGGACATCCTGTGTGTGTTTCATATTGCCCATACACCATGTACACTGACTGCTTAGGCAGAGGTGGCCATATGTGCTGTGGTATTGTGTGGCAATCCCACAGTAGAATGGTGGGGTTGTAGTCACCCAGGACTCTCAGCCAGACTGGGAAAGAGCTGACTTTGCGGTTCTTCCCAGGATTTGTGGATTTGGCATGGGATCCTGGAACTGGGAGACTTCTAAGAGAATTGGGAGGGATGAAATCTCCATTCCTGGGTCCATCGTTTAGTAGTGGCCAGCAACTAATTGCACACCTGTGCACAGCCCTTATGGAAAGGGTGCTGGCTAGTGTTCGGGGCTCCAGCTGGGAAGAGGAACAGAGCTATTTAGGAGTCAGGAGGACTCCACCCAGAAGCCAGAGTGGAGCCAGGAGGCTGTGTCTGTGCTGGAGGCACCTGGGAATCAGCCAAGGAGGCTCAGTGAGCCAGTGACACACAAGAGGTGTGAAAGCTATGGAAAATGTGCGACAACCTGGAGTCGGTGAGATTAGGTGATCTGTACTGTTCACTGGAATACAAGCGGACCTTGTGTTATTGTTGAAGTCATTGTTGTGTTGATGAAAAAAATAAAAGGCTGTCCTTTTTATGTTAAAACGGCTTCAGGACTGTTCCCTAAGCGCTCACCATATGTGCTAACTTCCCCAAACATCACAGTGCCTATGGAGATGTTTGGACATCCTGTGTGTGCTTCATATTGACAATACACCATGTACTCTGACTGCTTGGGCAGATGTGGCCATATGTACCTATGGAGATGTTTGGACATCACCCCGGAAATGAGGTGGGCTCTGTCTGACTTGCTGCAGATTCGAATGCACATTTGTGAGAAGCTCGCAGCGTGCAGGGACATCAGAGGAAGCAATTTCAGTCCAGGAGAGGAGCCGGTACAACTGTGCAAGACAGAAGATCGGGGTTCAGCTTTAATGCAGTTCATTCATTAGGATGAGGCACAAGGGTCCAGAAATTGTGCATGCAGAATTGTCAGCAGCACGCAGTAGTGCATTACTGTGCTTTGTGGTAAGATGCAAAGCATGTGTGTCGAGAGAGTGTGTTGAGGGGCCAATTAGAATTAATGTCACCCCAACATGCATAACCCACGTGTTACCAAATCTCTCTGATGTGAATGGGTCCTGCATTAAACCTGTGGTTCCTCCCATTGTCCCCATTCATTGGTGGGTGCAGGGACCCTAATGTGCAACAGGGGACACAGACATTCCACACTCCTAGAAGCAACAAATGCTTTCAGGAGGCTGTACTGCTTGATCACAGTGGAGCAGGGGCGTCCCGAGGCTGGGTGACACCCGGAGCGGAGACGGGGTGACACCCCGCCGTGACGTCCTCGCGCATGCGCAGTTGTCTCATTGACGCCTGCTGGTGGCCATCTTGGTGATGGACGTCAGCAGAGAGAGGAGGGGACTTCACCTGGCGGGATGAAGTATGTTGCCGGGTCCCATTCCTCTCTCCTGACACTGTAGGGCTCTCGATCCATGACTGAGTGCCCGACTTTTCATAGGGGGTGACACCAAAATGACTGTCAGTCATTTTGGTGTAACCCCTCAAATGGTGGCACCTGGGTGTGGGCCGCACCCCCATTGTAAAGCCACAGTGTCTTCTATTATAGGAGCCAAGCTTTGGATTTTTCTTTGAAAAGCAACAGAAAGCATTCATTCTCTCCTCCACTGCTGACTGCAATGCTAAAAATGAATTCCATGCAGATATAGTTACATAGTTACATAGTTAGTCAGGTTGAAAAAAGACACAAGTCCATCGGGTTCAACCTATAGAGAAAAAAAAAAGCCTAAACAGACCGCTATGCCCACAATTACCCAATGTTGATCTAGAGGAAGGCAAAAAAACCCCCTATAAAGCATGGTTCAATTTGCTCCAACAGGGGGAAAAAAATTCCTTCCTGATCCCATAAGGCAATCGGATATTCCCTGGATCAACAATCTCTGATGCCTAATATACCTACTCAATATCCAGTAATATTCTGTGCATTTAGGAATACATCCAGATATTTTTAAAACAATTTACCGAGCTTGCTAGAACTAGCTCCTGGGGGAGTCTATTCCAAATTTTCACGGCTCTAACTGTGAAGAATCCTTTTCGTATGCAACGGTTAAACCTCTTTTCCTCCAGACGCAAAGAGTGCCCCCTTGTCCTTTGCAATGACCTTAAAGTGAATAATTTGGCACCAAGCTCTTTATATGGACCATTTATGTATTTTTACATGGTGATCATGTCCCCCCCCCTTAGTCGCCTCTTCTCCAGAGAACAAATTCAGGTCAGCTAATCTTTCCTCATAGTTGAGCTCCTCCATGCCTCTTATGAGTTTGGTCGCCCTTCGCTGCACTTTCTCCAGTTCCACAATATCCTTTTTGTAAACTGGTGCCCAAAACTGAACTGCATTCCTAACACTGACCCTACCTGCAACCCTAACACTGACCCTACCTGTAACCCTCACACTAACCCTACCTGTACCGGTTAATGTGGGGGATATAAAGGACACATGTATTTTTCTGTATTGATATATGTATTTTTATAAATGCAAGCAATGTACAGTATGTCTCCGTCTTTGACTTGGAGTCATCTTTAATACATGTAAGCAGGGCTCAGACCGAGAGAGGGAGAAGCAATGCAAGAAGCTATACATTTGTGCTGCAGGGTAATTGGCATGTTGACGGGAAGGGAGAGCAGAGTGATGAGCCTGTCAGTCTGCTGCTTCTTCATTTCAGGTCAGGGAGGAGACCTGTAAATCTTACTCAATTTCAGTAGAGAAAGATCAGGTCTCCTGCCCTTCTAGACCGGGCTGTGCTGTGTTCCGGGGCTGTGTGAATCTCAGAACCGGATGGGCAGAAATACAAATCCTTTGGCAGGGAATATGTATATTGAGCTGTTTTCCTGGAGTTCATCTCTCAATATTAAATATTTATTTACAGATTTGTTACTTGTGTGCCATTCAGTTCTTCCTTTTATCATTAGCCATTAGAAGCATCTCATTAATACATAACCAGCGGGAAAGGTGCAATTTGTGTGCAGCACGCAGATTCCACAGCACTCAGCCCTGCCAGGCAGCAGAAGGAGCCTCATTATTATCTACAGCTGACATTTTAACCATTACTCTAAATTGGGGTCCTTTCAAGTACAAGGGTGGGCAACTCCGGGCCTCCAGCTGTTGTGGAACCACAAGTCCCATGAGGCATTGCAAGACTGACAGTTAAGGTGGCCATACAGTCTTAGTCTTAGTAGTCTTAGTGGCCTTAGTCTTGCGATGGTTGTAAAGTAATTAAAAAAACATACGATCTGACCATCTTGGACAGGCAGATCGTACTCTCGATCATCGCAAGCCCGCCCCCTTGAGGGCGTGCGCACACCTGTCCGTTCGGCATTTGTCTCCCGAGCACCGTTCAAACGGTCGCACGTCTTCCATACACTTTGCGATTATCGTACGATCGCGGGATTTCCCGCGATTATCGTGCGATAATCGCACAGTGTATGGGCACCTTTACCAGCATGACTCCCAGACACAGATGCATGATGGAATTTGTAGTTAAAGCACAGCTGGAGGGCCGGAGTTGTCCACCCCTGCTTTAATACATACTTTGAATTTTCCTATTCACCCTACACCCAAAATTGATGGGTAGTGTCTGCATGGTTGCTGGCAAGTTAAATCGCATTCTCTCTTTCTCTTGGACACTGCAGTAATGAGATCCCAGTTCTATCCAAAGCTAAAGGATAGTGTCCATCTATGGATTCTCAGGAGGGTCAAATGAACAGATAATTAGGCAGATGCAAGAGAGTGATGCCTTCATTATGGATGTGGGTGGACTGCAGTGCGATGTGGGATATTGTATCTATTGGAGGCTTCGAAGAAGCTAACAGGTGTTTCAACCCACCACTGGTCACCCAAACCTGAAATACCAGTTTTGTGTGGTGTTGACCTTTACAAATCCCGTCTTATCATGCCGTCTATCTAGGATTGTCCCTCGCTCATACTCTTCCTCTTCTCGCCCTTGTTTTAGGTCTGATGTGGTCGTCCTCTGTTTCTCCATTGCTAACCCCAATTCCCTCCAGCATGTAAAATCGATGTGGTACCCGGAGATAAAGCACTTCTGCCCTCGTGCCCCGGTCATTTTGGTTGGATGTCAGTTGGACCTGCGCTACGCCGATTTGGAGGCTGTGAACCGCGCTCGTCGACCTTTAGCCAGGTGCGTTTATGATCCTTAGCCTGCAATTTATAGAGCATTGACATTAATTAGTATAGTAGTAGGTTCCCATGCTGGAAGATCAGTGCCAGTATCCTGTGGATCTCAGCCAAGGAGAGGCAAGTATGCAAACAAGGGTTAGTGTTAGGGTTACAGGTAGGGTTAGTGAGAGGGTTACATGTAGGGTTAGTGAGAGGGTACAGGTAGGGTTAGTGTTAGGGTTACATGTAGGGTTAGTGAGAGGGTTACAGGTAGGGTTAGTGTGAGGGTAACAGGTAGGGTTAGTGTTAGGGTTACAGGTAGGGTTAGTGTGAGGGTTACAGGTAGGGTTAGTGTTAGGGTTACAGGTAGGGTTAGTGTGAGGGTTACAGGTAGGGTTAGTGTTAGGATTACAGGTAGGGTTAGTGTGAGGGTTACAGGTAGGGTTAGCGTTAGGGTTACAGGTAGGGTTAGTGTGAGGGTTACAGGTAGGGTTAGTGTTAGGGTTACAGGTAGGGTTAGTGTTAGGGTTACAGGTAGGGTTAGTGTGAGGGTTACAGGTACGGTTAGTGTTAGGGTTACAGGTAGGGTTAGTGTTAGGGTTACAGGTAGGGTTATTGTGAGGGTTACAGGAACGGTTAGAGGTAGGGTTACAGGATGGGTTAGTGTGAGGGTTACAGGGAGGGTTAGTGAGAGGGTTACATGTACGATTAGTGTGAGGGTTACAGGTAGGGTTAGTGTTGGGGGTACAGGGAGGGTTAGTGTGAGGGTTACAGGTAGGGTTAGTGTGAGGGTTACAGGTAGGGTTAGTGTGAAGGTTACAGGCAGGGTTAGTGTGAGGGTTACAGGTACGATTAGTGTGAGGGTTACAGGTAGGGTTAGTGTTGGGGTTACAGGTAGGTTTAGTGTGGGGTTACAGGTAGGGTTAGTGTTGGGGTTACAGGTAGGGTTAGTGTGAGGGTTACAGGTAGGGTTAGTGAGAGGGTTATATGTAGGGTTAGTGTGAGGGTTGCAGGTAGGGTTAGTGTGAGGGTTGGAGAGGTAGGGTTAGTGTGAGGGTTACATGTAGGGTTAGTGTGAGGGTTGCAGGTAGGGTCAGTGTTGGGGTTACAGGTAGGGTTAGTGAGAGGGTTACATGTAGGGTTAGTGTGAGGGTTGCAGGTAGGGTTAGTGTGAGGGTTGGAGAGGTAGGGTTAGTGTGAGGGTTACATGTAGGGTTAGTGTGAGGGTTGCAGGTAGGGTTAGTGTGAGAGTTACAGGTAGGGTTAGTGTGAGAGTTACGGGAAGGGTTAGTGTGAGAGTTACGGGAAGGGTTAGTGTGAGGGTTACATGTAGGGTTAGTGTTAGGGTTGCAGGTAGGTTAGTGTTAGGGTTGGAGGTAGGGTTAGTGTGAGAGTTAGAGGTAGGGTAGGTGAAAGGGTTACATGTAGGGTTAGTGTTAGGGTTACAGGTAGGGTTAGTGTGAGGATTACAAGTGGGGTTAGTGTTACAGGTAGGATGAGTGTGTGGGTTACTGGTACGGTTAGTGTTAGGGTTACAGGTAGGGTTAGTGCGAGGGTTACAGGTAGGATTAGTGTGAGGGTTACAGGTAGGATTAGTGTGAGGGTTGCAGGTACGGTTAGTGTGAGGGTTACAAGTGGGGTTAGTGTTACAGGTAGGATGAGTGTGTGGGTTACTGGTACGGTTAGTGTTAGGGTTACAGGTAGGGTTAGTGCGAGGGTTACAGGTAGGATTAGTGTGAGGGTTACAGGTAGGATTAGTGTGAGAGTTGCAGGTACGGTTAGTGTGAGGGTTATAGAGTTGCGGTTAGTGAGAGGGTTACAGGTAGGGTTAGTGTGAGGGGTAGTGTTAAGGGTTAAAGGGAAGGTAAGTTCAAAGGTTACAGGGAGGGTACTTACATGAAGGGCAGCTGTGGCAGCCTCCTTATCTCTCTCAATACATGTTTCCTTAGCAGAAGGTACCATATTGACTTTGGTTGACATGACTACAGGTATCTTTATGTTTAGCCAGATCTTATGAACACGAGGGAACCCAGGATCCCAGGTGTACACACTACACTGAGGGCTTGGTGCTCTGTAACTCTTCCCTACTCCCTCCATCTAACACATCAATAATAGTGTTTGTGGAGCCAGTAATAATGCAGTTAGTAGTTTGTGGGACGTTGGGGGGGTTGGGGGGGTGGGCATATCAGGTCCAAGTCATATCTTATGATTGGCGACAATTGTTTTCCTGTAGTATGTCCTCCTAAAATTGCATATTTACTCATCTAAACTCATTTACAGTTCAGCCGGTTTTCATAACTGTTTCTTTTTTGTAATAGGCCAATCCGCCCTCAGGAGATTCTTCCACCTGAGAAAGGCCGGGAGGTAGCCAAAGAACTGGGCATTCCATACTATGAAACTAGCGTAGTGGCACAGTGTGGCATCAAGGAGGTTTTTGATAACGCCATCCGTTCAGCACTCATCTCTCGGCGCCATTTACAATTTTGGAAGTCACATTTGCGCAGTGTGCGCAGACCTCTGCCACAGGCCCCTTTTCTTCCTCCCCGGCCTCCTCCTCCTGTCATTGTTGTGCCTGATCCCCCAGCACAAAGTGAGGATCATCCTGGACACCTTCTGGAGGAGGCATCTTGTGCTGATGTGGTGCTGGTGGTCCAAGAAAGGATTCGTATATATGCCCACCGCATCTACCTCTCCACTGCTTCCTCCAAATTCTGCGACCTTTTCCTCCTGGAAGATGGAGACCCACCTGCCCAAGCCAGAGATCCCCTTCTACGTGCCTCCAGCTTTGATGCTTGTGAGTCTTCGGGGGAAAGTGAGGGTGGTGGAATGAGAACCTCGGCCAGCGATGGCACATTGGGCAGGGAAGGCGACAGAGACTTATCAGGATGGAGCAGGGCCTTTGAGAGCATACGGAGTGGAGTTCTGGAAGAGACACCTGGCTACAGGGCCAGAAGAGTGACTGTTGTAAAGATGGACAGCTCAGTGAGGTCAGGACCATTCAGAGCAGTGCTTAAATATTTATATACTGGGCGACTGGATGAACGGGAACCAGAACTGATGGAAGTTGCCCACATTGCAGAACTGTTAGAGGTGTTTGACTTGCGCATGATGGTGGCAAACATTCTAAATCGAGAGGCCTTCATGAACCAAGAGATCACCAGAGCTTTCCATGTCAGGAGGAGCAATCGCATCAAGGAGTGTCTAGCAAAGGGGATCTTCTCTGGTGAGTTGATGGACATGGATTAGCTTGACAGCCTTCACTGTCATAAATAAATAAGGAGGTAGATTGCAACTTGACCTTTTAGGTTGGGCATAGACAACTCTAATGTTACCATAGATATAAGATGGCAGCTGCCCAATACCTCTGTCTTTTTGCAGAAGCTTGGGGTAGTCTGTCTGTGAACATCACCAGACACTTTTGGCCAACAATGTTTAGGGAAAAAGATCAGATTGACAGGTGCCAAAACCTTGTCCAGTCACAATTCTTCCCTTCCCCAGACAAGCTGGCACCAAGAGGGGCTGTCTGCTCCACCCTCCTTCCCATTGTATACCAAAAAAAGCTGATTTGCAAAGTATAGATATTATAGATATTATATTAGTAAACGGGTTGCGCACATGCCCTTGGATAACCATGAATATGTTGCATTTGCTTAGAGCAGCAACCTGTCAATCGTGATAGTGACCGGTAGATCGCTACCAACCCCACTATGCCACCAGCCCCTTCCATGCCATCTCCCAGACCTCAGATCAGAGCGCAATAGGCATTACAGAGCTGATGGAATTCCAAGGCTCCTCTGCGTCCCTGATGTGTTATAGTCCATAATAGAAGTCGCCAGCACTCGATGATGTGTGCAAAAAGTAAAGCACTTCTTCTATGTCGCCCAGAAGAAGGGACCCTGCGTGGCCCCGAAATGTTGGCTGTATGACACATGTGACAATTTAATAAAAAGTGCTTTACTTCTTGCACACATCATCGAGTGCTGGTGACTTCTATTATGGACTGTATCTGACACGGCGCCATCCGTGTTGTCACTTCAAGCACCAACCTTTCATCCAAGGTCTGTACGCTGTATGGAGTGCAGGTGATTTCGTATTATCTGATGTGTTATGACACAACCAAGGGGGCATCTGGGCAGATTATCCTCACACTGCCAGGAGCCGCTGCATTTGAGGTCTGGTGAGGGAATTTTACAAAGGTAGGGTGAAAGATGTTTGTACTGGATGGGAGATATATTTGCTTATGGGGGGAGATGTGTGTTAGTTTCTCCTGACCTCTGCACTCTGCATTATGCACTAATGACCCCTGCATCACATATTCCTGACCCCTGCAATCTGCATTACTTATTACTGACCCCTGCACTCTGCGTTATATATTCCTGACCCCTGCACTCTGCATCACATATTCCTGACCCCTGCACTCTGCATCACATATTCCTGAACCCTGCACTCTGCTTCACATATTCATGACCCCTGCACTCTGCTTTACTTATTACTGACCCCTGCACTCTGCATCACATATTCCTGACCCCTAAACTCTGCGTTACTTATTACTGATCCCTGCACTCTGCATCACATATTCCTGACCCCTGCACTCTGCATCACATATCCCTGACCTCTGCACTCTGCATCACATATTCCTGACCCCTGCACTCTGCTTTACTTATTACTGACCCCTGCACTCTGCGTTATATATATACTGAACCCTGCACTCTGTATTTCATTCTAACCCCTTCGCTGTGCATTATTTACTCCTGACCCCTGCACTCTGCTTTACTTATTACTGACCCCTGCACTCTGCGTTATATATTACTGAATCCTGCACTCTGTATTACATTCTAACCCCTTCGCTGTGCATTACTTTCTCCTGACCCCTGCACTCTGCTTTATGTATTATTAAACCCTGCACTCTGTGTTACATTCTAACCCCCTTCGCTGTGCATTTCATACTACTGACTCCTGCACTCTGCATCGCATACTACTGACCCCTGTACTCTTCATTACTTCTACCGATCCCTGAGCACTGTGTTACTTATTACTGACCCCTGAGCTCTGTGTTACATACTACTGACCCTTGAACTTTGTCTTCCATACTACTTACCCCTATACTCTGTGCTAATTACTACTGACCCCTGAACTCTTCAGATCTTTCTTACTTTTTAAAGGGGACTTGCTAGGTTATTCCCCCCC